AGCAGGCTGCCACCTCTTTCTCCCACAAGCTCCTTCAAGAGACCCTCAAATTTAGCAAAAAGACAAGCTGCCATTCTCCAGAAAAAGGTAATCAGGATTGTGAATGGGAAAGTGACAGTATTAGCCTTATCAGAATTAAATCATGAAGGAAATGGGTTTTATTTATAACAGGAGAGAATTTGGTTAGCTGAAAGTGACTTAATTGTAAGTGGTTACGATCGGGCTGCTAACCTCAAGGTCAGCAGGTTGAAACTACCAGCTGTTCCACGGGAGAAAGATGAGGCATTCTGCTCCCGGTAAAGATTTACAGCCTCGGAAACCCTGTGCAGGATCACTATGAGTCAGAACCTACTCCACGGTACTTAACAACAACATCAACCCCAGTTCTACGGGGAGACTTTCTTGCTCTGTTGGCTCTGGGGGAAGGTCCTTGTCTCTTCAGTTTCTGCTTTCTGGTTCCTTGGCCTATTGGCCCCTTGGGCTTCTTGGGCTGGCCTGGCTTCTGCTGGGCTCAGGCAAGTGTTCCAAAGTTCTATTGCTCTATTGATGGGAAGCCCTGGTAGCATAGTAGTTACTCATTGGGCAGCTAACCACAAGGTCAGCAGTTTGAATCTACCAGCCACTCTATGGGAGAAAGATGAGTCTTTCTGCTCCCATAAATATTTACAGCCTCGGAAACCCCATCCATGGTTGCTATGAGTCAAAACGGATTCTGCAGCACATCATCACCACCACCACCACCACCATAGCTCTACTGATAAGTGCCTAGAGACACTCTAATCCACCAGTAAGCCTTGGCTCAAAGGCATCGAGGTCTCTCACTTGTAAGTGGTTACAATCGGGCTGCTAACCTCAAGGTCAGCAGTTCGAAACTATGAGCTGTTCCGTGGGAGAAAGATGAGAAACAACGCAAGCCTAGTTTCACTGACAGGTACGCAGAGGTACGCCGGTCTGCCAGGAAGAAAGACTCTTCTAACCAATTCTTAGTGCACTATGACAATGGCTATCTCAAGAGAGCTAAACTCTCCTTTGAGGAAAACATTCATGCATTTATTTAACAAATAATGATTGATCTCCATTATGCGCAAGGCCTCCACCTTACCCTAGATCACCTCTAGTTTGGACATGTTCTTCCTAAATTCCATAATCCCCCATGCTTTATCCTAAGAAAATGAATTGCAGCCCTGTGTTCTATTGCCCAACAGGCTTGAAGAAGTCAAGGGTTTCCAGGCTGTGTGGTTACAGAGAACTGAGAAATATGAGAAGGAAAACCATGGAGGATTCCGGCTGGTTTATCCCAGTCTGAATTCAGAAAAGTATGAGAAGTTCTTCCAGGACAACAACTCCATCTTCCAGAATACTGTTGCTTCCAGAGCTCGAGAGCTGTATACCCGGTAGGAAGGGTGTCCATGGGGATTGACCTGATGGGCCTGGGATGACAGGGAGAGGAAGGAAGGTCTCTGAGCTTTAGTCCCCAACTATGAAGTTGCCAGAGGAGCATTTACTCTGGTTTCACAATAATCAGGTTCTGTAAGATTCCCTGGTGTGGGATGTTGTGACGTAGATGAGTGGTTGTTTCTAGAAACTCATCCTTGAGACAGGCAGAGTGAAGACACCATCACCCTACCACTCAAAGCTACCTCATAGATTCATCTAAGAGATGAAAGGGGTCTTTTGACTTCCAGTTCAGTCCCTACCCACCCCTTCATTTTATGAAAGGGAAAGTCTGAGAAGAGAAGGGATCAGACAACAAGATAATGACAAAATAGGTACTAGAACCTCTAGTTTTGATTTTTTCTTAAACTTTTTATTGTGAATTGAGTGAAGGTTTACAGAGCAGTTCATCAGTTTTACATTCAACAAATCATATACTTTGTTTCATTACAATGGTTGCAATCCCCTCCATGTACCATCAAGAAGTCTTTTGACTCACAAGACTGTGCTATTCCCACTACACCATACTACCTTTGTTCATTCCCAGAGTCCATTAACCAGAGAGGCACAGCATTGTGAAGTGGTCCAACACTGAAGTACCTACCCTTGGAGTTCTGTCTTTAGCTTCCTACCTGGTCCTCATCCTTACATTTGACATGTATGGGAATTGGCCTATAGGGAAATGGGCAGAAAACTGGTAGTGTGGTAGAGGGGTGTATAGCCTTCTTACTCTTCAGCTCTCCTTTGATGCTTTTCCCCAGACTGGGAACGGCATGGCTGGAAGACTGGTTCTTTACTCCCTAATCTTTGTCCTTCAATCTGGGGTGCCTGATGGACACACTGGGAGAGGGAGTGCAGAGCACTTGGGAGCCTCTTCCTTCCCATTTCTCTGCTCCATCTTGTCCATCCTTCAGGGAGAATCCCTGACTTCATAGCCCTTTCCTAACTCATATGACACGCCCTTATTCCTCATTGGGCAGGCAGCTGATCCAGCAGCTGAGGCTAAAACAAGAGAAAAGAGCCTTCCGAACAAAAGAGAAGAAAACAGAGATGCAGGGGGAGTCAACAGGAGAGCAAGCACGGAGCAAGCACGTGGGGAACTTGCAGCAGAAACCACATCAGCAGCCTGAGGCCACCACTCATGCCTCCAAACAAGTAAACCTGGATAGGAGGGCAGGCATCCCCAGTACCCTTCCTCGGCTGGGACCAGTTCGTGGGGGGGTGCCAAGGAGGCCACCGCTGAGGGCACAGACACATTGTCAGAGTGGGGCTGCACAGAGGGCTGTTCAACAGGAGGGGGTGCCTGGTGGGTACACAGTGCCCCGTGCCTATCGGAGGACCCTTCCTTGCAGACAGTAGAGGACTCTGCCCTGATCAGTCCTTCTTGCCTCCTCCAATCTATGTAGAAACAGCAGGGCCATTCAGGGAGGCTGAGCATGCTTCCTGTTTAGGGAGTGGACTTCAGGACTGTACGGATTCATGATCCCAGCCTCTGACTTGGGTTGGACGGCTCCCCTCCCCCCGCCACCAGGCTGGGGCACAGCTGAGAGAGCAGACCAGATGCAAGAGTGTCTGGGAGGTGGGATTCTCAGAACTTTATCTGGGGGTAACTGACCTACCTGGTCCAAGTGCAGACCAGCTTCCAGGTTGCAGTCAGCTTCTAGTTGTCTGAGAGAGTAACTTACCTTCATGAGATAAGTCTTTGGTTTCCCCCAATTCTGTCTAGGTCTCTTTTCTAGCTCAGTGGACAGATTCAGCTGACTTTTCAATCTATCTCCTTTTTCACAAAGAGTCATCATGAAGGGATGGAATTAGAGTAGTTTATTTAAACCTTGTTAGGGTCATAGACCCTGTGACAATCTGATAAAAACTATGGAACCATAAAGTACACAAACACACAATTTTAAAACTGCAGTTTCAAGTGGCCTACAGACCCCTCTAAAGTCCTTAAGGGGTTCCAAAACCTCAAATTTGAACCCTGAGTACTGGTACTGAATTAAAGAGACATTGGTACTGAATGCTTCCCTTCTCCTCATCTCCTTAGCACCTACTCATGGGTGCTGGTGAATCCGGAAGTGAACAGAGCTGGGTTCCCAAGAACTGTGTTTGGTTTCCTCCTTCCCAGCACCCCCTGCCATTGACAGCAGTGTCTTGCACACCTGACTCACTTTTGAATGTCAGCGAAGTAAAGAAAAATGAGACAGACTGCAATCTTGGCCAGGAGGCCCCAAAGACAGAGGCTGGTCCTGCTCTCCCCCGGCGTTCATCTGCAAGGCAGTACAGGTCTGTACCCGACCTAAGGACTTCATGCCTCAGTGGCTCTAGGCTGGAGTTCAGTAAAGCCAACTCCAGGATGCAGGGGACCAAGTCCGCCTCTGTAATGAACATATTCACTGGCACTGTGGTGAGTACAGCAGTCCCCCCTCCCTGCTGGCCAGACTCTGACACAAGTGGCAGGAGTCTTGCATTCTGGGCCCATCTCCCATTCACCACGTACCCTTCCTTGCTTGGGCTGTTTCCCTACTTCTGAATACTTAGTGTTGGAATGGCACATCTTATTCTAAGAGTATGAGCCTGGGAGGATTTTTGTTGTTGCTCCTGCAAAGATTTGATCTAAAAGCCTCAGAAACCCTATACAGGGTCACTATGAGTCAAAACTAACTTAACAACAAAAAATGAGGGTGCCGATTCACACATGCATGGATTTATTCCAAAGAAACATGTTTAAACGTTTCTGTGATCATGGATGGGTGCAAACAAGGTTTCTCAGTACTACACTTGTCTTAGTCTTAGTCTTTTTTGTGTTGTTAAGTGCCATTAAGTCAATTCTGACTCATCAAATCTGTATAGGTTTTCCAAGGAGTGGATAATGGGTTTAAATCATCAACCTTGAAGTGAGCAGTTCAGTGCTTATCCTACAGCCCCACACCAAGACGCCTAGTCTTCTTAGGGTACCTTTAAAAAAAGGTCGAATCAAAACAGGGGCTTCCATGGGAACCTGCTGGATCAGTTAAATTCAAGGCAGATATATCAGCTTAGAAGTTTATGATGACTTTTTTTGGGATATCCAAGGAGTAATTTTGATCAGTTTTTTCAAAGGACACAGGATAAACAGGCTTATTATGAAAAAGTTTTAAGAAAATTGAAAATTGCATTGGTGAGGAAAAGGCCAGGAAAGTTATATTGAGAAAATTTCCCCCATCACCAGCTCATTCTTCCAAGGTAACAAGGGAAACCTTACCCTATCTACCCTACAGCCATGATCTTGCCCTGTCAGACTTCTTTTTGTTCCCAAACTCAAAGAACATTTAAAAGGAATATGATTTGAGTTCCTCAAGGATACCAAAGCTGTCATTTTGATGTGGTGGAAATCAAAGAGCACAGATTCAGGGAAGGTTTAGAAAAGTGGGAACACACAGTCTTCAGAAGTGCAAAGACCTGATTTCTGGCAAGATGGCAGACTGGGCAGACCCTTCTACAACAAAGATATGAGAGACAAAATAAAACATGCACAGATGAAAATTCTGGCACCCTGAACTTGAGAAGAAAGGTTAGCGAGGTGAATGGAGTGCTTGCTGGGAGGAGAGGCTGAGCAGGGACAGCATGAGAGGGAAACTGGTGAATAGCGCTATGACAAACATCAGTGTGCATATATCTACTCAAGTCATGGCTCTTATTTCCTGGGGAGTTATATAACAAGTAGAGGGATTGTTGGGTCATACAATATTTCCATTTCCAACTTTTTCAGAATGCGCCATACCGTTTTCCACAGTGCTTTCACCATTCTCACCAGCAGTGTTAGAGGGTCCCAGTCTTTCCACAACCTCACCAGCAAGGGTTGTCTTCTGAAAAAAAAAAAAAATTTTTTTTTTTTAAACCTTGCTATTAATGCTGGGGTGAGATGATATCCATTGTTTGGTTTGCATCTCTCTAATGGTTAATAATCACAAACATTTCTTCAAATGTTTGTTGGCTCCTTGAATGTCTTCTTTGGTGAAGCGTCTGTTCATGTCCTCTGTCCATTTCTTTTTTTAAATTGGATTGTTTGTCTTTTTCTTGTAGAGATATTGTAGTTTTCTGTAAATTTTGGAGATAAGTCCCTTGTTTGATATGTCATAGCAAAAAAATATTTTTTTCCAATCTGTGGGTTCTCTTTTGGCAAAATCTTTTGATGCACATAAGTATCTAATTTTTAGTAGAACTCAGTCATCTATCTTGTCTTCTATTGTTTGTATGCTTTTAATTATGTTCTACAGTGAATTTATGCCATGTTTAAGAGCTCCTAAGATTAATAATTGATGATCTCTATAGTTCTAGGTTTCACATTTAGGTCTTTGATATATGTTGAGCTTATTTTTGTATATGGTTTGGAATATTAGTCTTATTTCATTTTTCTGTAAATGGATTTCCAGTTTTTCCAGCACCATTTGTTGAAGAGACTATTTCTTCTCCATTTAATGTATTTTGGCCCTTTGTCAAACAATAGCTGACTATATGTGGATGGATTTACTTCTGAGTTCTCAATTCTGTTCCCTCAGTCTATGTTTCTATCATTATACCAGTACCAGGCTGTTTTGACCACTGCGGCTATGTAGTAGATTTTGAGGTCAGGAAATGAGAGGCCTCCAACTTGGTTCTTCTTCTAAAGTAATGCTTTGTTTATCTGAGCTCTCTTTCCTTTATGTATAAAATTAGTGATCAGTTTTTTCATCTCTTTAAAGAATGACACAGGAATCTGGATTGGGATGGCATTATATCCAGAGATTGCTTTGGGTAGTGTTGGCAGTTTCACAACGTTAAGTCTTCTTATCCATGAACATGGCATGTTCTTCCATTTTTGTAAGTCTCTCTTGTTTTCTTAAAGTAGTGCTTTGTAGTTTTCTTTATGCAGGTCTTTTGTTTCTCTGGCTAAATTTTTTTTTTTTTTCCCTAAGTACTTCATCTTTTGGGAGGCTGTTGTAAATGGTATTGTTTTCCTGATTTCCTTTTCAGAACTGTCTTTATCAGGAATTCAGCTGCTTTTTGTGTATTGATCTTGTTCCCTGATACTTTGCTGCATCTTTCAATGAGTTCCAGTGATTTTTCTTGCCGAGTCTTTGGAATTTTCTATGTATAGAGTCATATCATCTGCAAAAAGAGAGAGTTTTGCCAATTTGGATGCCTTGAATTTCCCTTTCTTTCTTTCTAGCACTGGCTAGGACTTCCAGCACAATATGAATATGAGTGGTGATAAGAGGTATCTTTGACTAGTTCCTAGTTCCTGTTCATAAAGGGATGCTTTCAGTTTCTCTCCATTGACAGTAATGTTGACTGCTGGATTTGTGTGTTGTTGTTGTTAAGTGCCATCGAGTCAATTCCAACTCAGTGACACTGTGTAGGGTTTCTGAGAAGTGGCTGGTGGGCTTGAGCCACCAACCTTGCAGTTAGCAGTCCAGTGCTCATCCTATAGCCTCACACCAGGATACCCTTAATTATGTTGAGGAATTTCCCTTCTGTTCCTATTATTTTGAGTGTTTTTGTTAGGAATGGATATTGGATCTTGTCAAATGCCTTTTCTGCATCAATTGATATGATCATGTGGTTCTTTTCCTTTAATTTATGTTGTAGATTACGTTGATTGTTTTTCTAATACACTAATTCTAATGTTGCTTCCAAGACATTGTGGTGGTGTTGTATTTGCATTTAATTGATGATTGTATGTTGATATGTTTTATAGACACTCACCAGCTGCCTCCTTGTGTGTGTGATTAGGGGATGGAAGCATGTGCACCATTCTCTGTTCACTGTTAGTGCAGCTTGTCTTTAGGATGAGTTTGGCTGATGTTGATCGTTGTTGTTGATCAGGTATATAGCAGTTGGTATTGACTCTTGCCCAGTGGGTTGGGTTGTAGAGGGTATGGTAGTGGCTGAGCTGTATGGGCACAGTTGCTGTTCCTTGTCGAATGAAGTAAGAAGAAAAAAACACCCACAGGAGAGAAGGAAAACAATAAAATATAAATAAGCAAACAACAGTGAAAAAATAAAATAGTCAAGTAAAAAATGAAAAAGGCAGGCAGCAGCTAGAAAAAGAATAAAAAGCCAAAAAAAAAAGAGAAAAGAGGGAGAGAAAAAAACACAGAAGAAAAAGAGCTAAATAAATTAGGGAGAAGGATGAGTAAAGGAGAAAGAGACAAGAGAATAATAGTAAAGGTGAAAAAAAGAATAGTAAAGAAAAATCAAGAGAAATAAAGAAAAGGAAAAAAGAGAAGAAGCAATGATTGTGAGAGAGAAGCAGAAAACAAGAAAAAAAAATGAAAGTGGCGATAAAATGGATGAAGAATAAGGGAAGTTAAAAAAGAGGAAGAAGGAGAAGAAAAAAATAAACAAACAAAAACAATGAAAGTGAAAAAACAGGGCAAGTGCCAGATCCAGAGAAGAGTATGGGGAACAAGAAAAAAAAATTGCCCCTTTCTCTCCAAGAGTCACTGGTATGTTTCTGCAATAACAATACGCTGTCTTGTCTCTGAAAGTGCTCACAGAAGTGTAATATGGCTGTGCTGTGTCTGGCCAGACGGCCAGGTTACCAGTCTTCCTCTTTTTTATGCTGCATCTGTTCAGCTTCTTCTCCTAGTAAGTATTCAGTTCCCTTTTCTATCCCTTCATCTAAAGTTCAGGGATCCGGGACTGTCACCTGCATCTGTTTCATTTAGTTTTCCGTATCTTTGTTATAATGGTACTGCCTAGTCTGCCATCTTGCCGACTCTGGTTTCTATGATTTTGTACCAGAGAAAGATGAGGCGTTCTGCTCCCGTAATGATTTACAGCCTCGGAAACCCTATGCAGGGTCACTATGAGTCGGAACCAACTCCACGGTACTTAACAACAACAACAACAACAACTTTTGACTTTCCCTCAAATATATAAAATATATCTCATGAATGTATATAAATACATTGCAATATGTTTTTCTAAAAAAAGAAAATTATGTGTTTCACAAATATCTAAATATATGTATATTTTCCAAATGCATATAAAAATATTTTATAGCTGTATCACTAAAACCAAATATAAAGTATTTATGCTTGTAGTTCTTAGGCAATTACAAGCCCAAACAAGCTTACAAGTTGAAAACAAATAGCACCAATAAAATTCAAACAAATATATGAAATGAATATTGCAGTTGATTTCCTTTATGTTTTTGTAAGAAATTGAGGTACCGCGTGAATATGGTACACTCATGACTGCTACAGCTCAGCTTCTTTTATATTCATCACACTTAGGTCCTCAGTGGCCATGTGATGCTTCTACTGTAACGACAGGAAAATCTTGAGCATTTTAGGATCTTGGTGTAGTCCAAAGGCACCCAATCCAGAGTGTTTCCCCTCAAATTTAACTATAGCCCACAGCAAGAAAGACATTTGATTTCATAATCCTCTAATCACCTTAAACCTCTGTTTCCCCATTTGAAAAATAGGATTTCAGTAAGAGGAACCTTGATGGTGCCAGTGGTGGAACATTCCACTTGTTTTCATAGGTTGGCAGTTCAAACCCACCAGTCCATCCTTGGCAGAAAAAATTGGCAGTTAGCTTCTATAGAGATTTACAATTGGAAAAACCTATGGGGCAGTTCTATTCTGTCTCATATATATGGTCATTATGAGTCAGAATGTCAGTCAGAATTGGTGGCAGTGGGTTTTTTAGTTTTTTAGTTTTTGTTTTTTTGTTTTTTTGGTATCCACGACTGAGTAGATCCATGAACGTGCTTTCGAATGGTGTCTGGTATATAGTACTCAGGAAGTGGGATGATCTTAATATTATTACTACTTCTTATGATGACTTTTATTATTTTCTCATTAACCCAAGATAAGAAAAGCAGTACTAATTGACTCTGAAGAGATTTTTTCAGAAGAACAAGGTGACAACATTTCATTAGTTTTTGGATTTAGGATACAGAAGGTTGATTTAATCAACCCTTATACTGTATTATAGTTGATTCACCCAAGGCCTTTGCATGTCTTATTTACTTACTTTTACCTTTTGTCCCTCTACTTACCTCTCATTCTCCTATCCACTCACCCCACAAGCACTTGTTTTAATGTGTTTAATGTATATTTTTGTGTTTGTATGTTTGTTTGTACAGCAGGGTTTTTTAATGCATGTATTTAAAATATGTGGAGTCCTGGTATGGCGCTGTAGTATAAGGACTGGACTGCAAGATCAGTTTGAACTGCAAGGTCAGCAGTTCAAACTCACCAGCTGCTCCTTGGAAACTCTATACAGGGTTGCTATGAGTCGGAACTGACTCGATGGCACTTAACCACTGCATTTAAAATATCAAAATATGTCTTTGTGGAAACATATTTTTTCCCATCTTCAGATGAATGGATAAACAAAATGTGGTACATATATACATGAAACATCACCCAGCCATGAAGAGAAATGAAGTTCTAACACATGCTACAATGCGAATGAACTGGAAAACATTATTTTGAGTGAAATAAGTCAGTCACAAATGGACAATATTGTATGACCTCACTTACATAAAATATCTTGAATATTTATATATCTATATATAAAACTATATAGAGACCAAAGTTCATTAGTGGTTTCACATATGGTGTGAAGTATGAGTCCAAGTTCATTCTCTTGGTTGTGAAAATCCAGTTGCACTATCTATTAAACTATTATTTGCTGGCTGGGTGGACTTAGCACATCTTGAAAATCCTTTGACTATAGATGTACAGGTTTATTTCTGAACTCTCATTGGTCTATCCTTATATTAGTACCAGGCTGTTTTGATTACTGTAATTTTATAATCTATTTCACAATCAGGAAATGTGAGTCCTTCTTCTGTTTTGTTTTGTTTTTGTTTTCTTCCCAAGACTACATTGGCTATTTTGGGCCCCTTGCAGTTCTTTATAAATTTGAGGATTGGCTTTTCTATTTCTATAAAGAAGGCTATTGGAATTTTGTTAAGCATTGCAATGGATTTATAGGTTGCTTCAGATGGTACTGACTTCTTAACAGTCTTCTGATTTTTGGCATAGATTGTTCATCCATTTATTTAGGTCTTCTTTACTTTCTTTTAATGATTGTTTTGTAGTTTTCAGTGCACAACTCTTTCACTTTCTTGGTTAAATTTATTCCTAGGTAATTGAAATACCATTGTAAATGGAATTGTTTCCTAAATTTTCTTTTCAAATTGTGCATTACTGTTGTACAAACACCTGACTGAGTTTTGTGTCTTGCCATTTTGCTGCATTCGCTTATTATCTCTAGGAGTTTTCTTATGGATTCATTGAAGTCTTCTATATATAGGATTAGAGAGCTCTGGTAGCGTAGTGGTTACGAATCGGGCTGCCAAACACAAGGTCAGCAGTTCAAAACTACCAGCTGTTCCGCGGGAGAAAGATGAGGCTTTCTGCTCCCATAAAGATTTACACCCTCGGAAACCCTGTATAAGGTCATTATAAGTTGGTTCCGACTCCATGGCACATAACCACCACCACCACCATATATAGGATTGGGTCATCTGAAAACAGGGATCGTTTTGTTTCTTTCTTTCCAATTTGAACACCTTTTATTTTTTTTTCTTGTCTAATTGCTCCTACAGTTAGTATAGTATTGCTCTTAATCTTAAGAGGGAAAAAAAAAACTCTGATTCTCCATCAAGTATGATGTTACCTGTGGGTTTTTCAGAAATGCCCTTTATCTATCTGATTGAGGGATTTCCCTTCTTTTCCTAGCTTGTTGAGTTTTTTCATCATTAAGGGGTATTGGGTTTTATCAGTTGCATTATATTATTGATTAATTTTCTAATGTTGAAAGAAGTAGATTATTTAGAAGTATCTTATCTAATTTCTAGGTGTTTGGAGATTTTCCTGCTATTTTTCTGTTACTTATTTCTAGTTTAATTCTATTATGGGCACAGAGCACACTGGGTATGATTTTAATTGTCTAAATTTGCTAAGGTTTGTTTTAAATCCAAGATATATACACTTGAAAAAATTATTTTCTGTTTTGGAGTGGTGGATTCTATTCTTGTCGATTAGATCTAGTTGGCAAATGATATTGTTTAGTTCTTCTAGACCTTGTTAATTTTCTGTGGAGTCCTGGTGTGGTGCTGTAGGATAAGCACTGGACTGCTAACGCTAACTCCAAGGTTGGTGGTTCAAACCCACCAGTTGCTCCTTGGAAACCCTATACAAGGTCGCTATGAGTCAGAACCAACTTGATGGCACTTAACAACAGTTCTATTATTTACTGACAGAGGACTGTAGAAGTCTCCAACTATAACTGTATTTGTCTATTTCCCAGTTTGAACCACAAAGTCAGCAGTTCAAACTCATTAGTTGCTCCTCCAGAACCCTATACAGGGCCGCTATGCATAGTCAGAACTGACTCAAAGGCTCAGGAAAGAAACTCTGGTGGTGCTGTGTGTTAGGCATTGGACTGCTAATCACAAGGTTGGCAGTTCAAACCCACCAAATACTCTGCAGAAGAAAGATAAGGCTCTCTGCTTCTGTAAAGATTTGCAGTTTCAGAATCTCTATCTAGTATCACTATGAGTCAGAGTCAATACGATGACAGTGGGTTGGGTTTGGATTCTGGGACTCAGAAGTGTACAGAAAAGGCTGCAAAAAAAAAGGCTCTGAGCCAAAACTATAGGACTTCTCCTGGAGCTCTTTAATCCTTCTGCATCCAGTCCTTTTTCTCTTCATCTTTTATAGACAGCACATAAGCAAGTCTTGCTTTTTAAGAGTTAAAAAATTCAGTATGACAATCTCTGCCATATAATGGTAGTGTTTACTCCATTTTAATTTGGTGTAATATTAATTTGATTGATATGTATTTAGGGATGAAATTTTGGAATGTGTTTTCGATTCATCTTTTCTAGTTTTAAAATATTTTTATTCCTCTATCCCTTCTCTTTGGTTTTGTTTTTTTTTTTTCATGGGGGGGGTAATTTAATGTATTTATTTATTTATGGAGTCCTGGTGTGGCACTGTAGGATAAGCACTGCACTGCAAGGCCAGTTTGAACCACAAGGTCAGTGGTTTAAACTCACCAGCTGTTCCTTGGAAACCCTAAGCAGGTTCACTGTGAGTTAGAACCAATTCAGCAGTACTTAACAACAATAGATATACATTTTTAATTTCTCTATTGTTTTCAAAGGAGTCTTAGTAGAACAAAAGTTAAGCACTGAGCTGTCAACCAAGAGATGGGTGGTTTGAACTCACACAATGGCTCTGTAGGAAAAAGACCTCGTGAGTTCTGCTCCCATAAAGATCATGGGGCAGTTCTCTTCTGTCACTTAGGGTTGCTATATGTTGCAATCTACTTGATGGCACCTAACATTGACAGAATTGCCTCTTATAATTTCTTGCATCTTTTAGTGGTTGTTCCACGGATTACAGTAGACATCATCAGCTTGATAGAATCTACTTTGTGTTAATGTTGTGCTGACCCCAGCCCTTAACATCTTCATTATCTACCACCCAGGTTTCAACCTCCCCCAAGGTTCTGCCAAGTCTAACTCTGAGAGCCAGTTCTGAGTACAGCAGCCCGGAGATGAACAGAATGGTTTTCTTTCAGTACAAGCAGCAGCAGTTACCCCAGCACTTCATCCAGAAGAAAATATTGAAACCTCCTGTGCCTACAAAATCCCAGAGTTTCTGGGGGCATATGAACTCAAACTGGACTTTGATAAAGAATGACACAAAGAAGCAGCATCTAATGTCACATCTCTTCACCAAGCTTCAGCTGAGGGGGAACCTCTCCTGGTTCCCAGCTCATTATAAACCAAAGTTGGTGTTGAATAACCAGTCACGTGAGTGCCTGCAACTACTAGAATGTGGCAAGAGTTTAGGGGATAGAGTAGCCAACAGAACGCAGTCCCCATCTTAGTGGAGACCATACATAGCTTTAGAGGTATACAAAGCCCCTGCCCTCAATGATACCTCAGGCTACCCTTAAAGGGAGTCTCTAGTCTCAGGAGTCCTGGTGCATGCTATAAGATAAGCACTGGATTGGTAGCCAAAAGGTTGGTGATTCAAACCCATCAGCCACTCCTTGGAAACCCTACACAGAGTCTCTGTGAGTTGGAACCAACTCAGTGGCTCTTACAATAACAGCAACAACAGTCTCATTGAGAAGACAAAAAAGATAAATGTCTAATGTTATGTGTAAGCATCCTCTCCAACATTTCCAGATGAGACCCATTCAGCTGAGTACCACGTAGGGGTGTGTTTTGACCTTAAATGAATAAACTGGGAAGAGACACTCTTTGGAAGAAAGGACCAATGACTGATCCTAAGAGAAATTTAAAATCAATCTAGCCAGTTTTAGACCAGGGGACCCTTCACCAGGATTTTTTTGTGGGTGGTAGTCTTCACTAGGAATTTATGCTGAGCCCAGCAGCACAGATTAATAATGCCAATGACTTTGCCTTTCCAGAAATCCCCTCCCTGCCCCGGGAGTCCTCCCACAGCCGAAGCTCTGGAGAGAAGAGACAGCTGGGTGTGTCTTCCCTCCTCCTCTTGCAGAGTGCTCCCAGCCAGGACGTTCCTCTGAAAGACCTGCTGGTGATTGCCACTCCAGCCCGACTGGATCCAAGGCAGAAGCCATACAGGGTCCATGAGAGACTCATGTCTATTGGTTCAGGAAGTGTATGCCCTAGTGTCTGGCCAAAACGAACATGAGAGGATCTAGGTAGTCCCACCATATTCCCTTCATGTGCCTGCTGCATTGGCAAGTGCTCTCTATAGTTTTGGAATGTTGGGTAGGTAGGAAGGTGGATTAATAAAGATATACAGATAAGTAGACAATTAAGACTCACCTTAGTCAAAATGTGACCTGATGGGATGTATATTTCTGAAATGACTGATGGATCTGCCCACTCTATTGTGGACTTGGCCTTATGGACACTTATAGCTGAAACTGAGACAGTCATAAATTTCAGGTCCCAGAAGTAGAACTGTATCAATGAGTGGTTGATTTTTACCTTCTTTGATTTTGTGTCAGCCCAGGTCACTTGCCCCAGGGGCTGGTCCTCCAGTTCTGCATGCTTAGGCCACAGAACAACAGGGCATCAAAGCTTTGATTCCATTATAGGGAAGGACCAAGATTACAGCAAGAAGTCTTCTGTCAGAACTAAGTGTTTCTGAAGGAAGTTTGTATGTAAAAACGTAAGAGAAGGCTACAATACAGTATAGTACGTAAAGGGATTTGGACTGCTTGACTGCCTATAGAAGAAAGCTATACATTTCCAGTATCTCTCTCACCCCTGCAACCTAAAGCAGATAGCAATGCCCCAGTCAGACACTCTGACCTTGCCCCCTTGTGACCAGTTGCATACACTGCAAGAAGGCCAACAAATAAACTTCAGCATCCATAGGAGGAATCCATGGGTGCTCATTAGACATACATATTCCAGGGCGCTGTTTCCAGATATTGTGATTCAGTAGGTCTGAGGTGAGGGCCCAGGGATTTGCATTTTAAGAAGCTCTTTTAAGCAATTCTTATTGTTGACTGTGTTGTTGTTGTTAAGTGCTGTCAAGTTGGTTAGGACTCAGCAACCTTGCATGTAGTTTCCGAGGCGTAGCTGGTGGGTTTTAACTTCCGACCTTGTGGCTTAAACTGACCTTGCAGTCCATTGCATTACCCTGCAGCACCACACCAGGAGAAAACATGGTCCTGATGATTCCCAAACTTTCCTAATAATATGAATCATCTAGGTGTCTTTATTAAACCAATGGCTTCCAAGAAATCCTGACACAGGAGGTCTGGGGATGGAGCCTTGGTAATTTGTCTTTTGAACAAGTATCTCAGATGTAGGTTCGACATTTGGACCAGACTTGGGCAGAGGAACCTGTTACAGCCAGGTCTGACCCCTTGTTGAAACCAAACTCCCAAATCCTTACAGATCCAACCCCCCTGACTTTGACCCAAGGTTTGTGATTTTCTGGTATTGGAATATTAAGTGAAAAAGTTGTTGTTGCTAAGTATCATTGAGTCTGTTCCAACTCACAGCCACCCTACATATAACAGAATGAGGCACTTGCCTGGTCCTGCACCAGGCTCACATCATTAACTGTGTTTGAGTCCATTGTTGCAACCACTGTGCCATTCCATCACCTTGAGGGTCTTTGGCTAACTTTCTACTTTACTAAGCATGATGTCCTTTTCCCTCCTGATAACATGTCCAAAGAAAATGAGATTGAAGTCTTCCCATCCTTGCATCTAAGGAGCCTCTGGCTGTATTTCCTTCAAGACAAATTTGTTCATTCTTCTGGCAGTCCATGTTGTCTCTCCAAAATTATTTTCTTTTAAGAAATTTTTATTTTTTTTTCTTGTTGGGAATATATACAGCATGGCATGCACCAATTCAAACACTTCTACATGTACAATTTAGTACATGTACAAAGGAGCTTCTTTAGACATTGACTACATTTTTCGAGTTGTGTAACTATTCTTAGATTCAGCTTTTCTAAGTGAATCCTCCCCATTAACATAAACTTACAACCCCTAAGGTTCCTTAACTAATCTTTTGAGTTGTTGTCAATTTATGCCAAGAGCATAATGCTCATGGCAGACTTTTAATTTTTTTTTACTAGATAAGCTAAACAATGGTTCCATTTTAAGAAGACCTCAGGGAATATTTTTTTATTTAAGCCTTAAATATGATCTCAGGGCAATGTTTTCAAGGATTCATCCATTCTCCATGACTCCAGAAAGTGTAGAGACTATGAGGTATTCACCAACATCTTCACTAACACCATAATTCAAGTGCATCAGTTCTTCTGTCTTCCTTATTCATTGTCCAGCTCTCATATGCACAGTGAAATTACCATGGCTTGGGTCAGGTACACTTTAGTCTTTGCAGTGACAGCTCTGTTGTTGTTTTTTAACACCTTAAAGAGGTCTTTTGGAGCACATTTGTCTAATGCAAAACATCATTTGATTTCTTTACTGCTGCTTCCATGGGCATTGATTATAGATCAAGTAAAATGAAATCCTTGACAACCTCAATATTTTTTCCCCATTTATCATGTTGTTGCTTATTGGTACAGTTGGAAGGATTTTTGCTTTCTTTATGTTGTGGTGTAATCTATCATGAAGACTGTAGTCTTTGATCTTCATCAGTAAGTGCTTCAAGTCCTCTTCACTTTCAGCAAACAAGGTTGTGTCGTCAAGTTGTTAAGGAGCCTTCCTCCAATCCTGATGCTGAGTTCTTCAGATAGTCCGGCTTCATGGATTATTTGCTCAGCATACAAATGTAGTAAGCATGGCAAAAGGACATAACTTTTCACCTGGCACATACCTTTTCCAATTTTAAACCACAGTATGATGGATAATAGTATGGATTGAATTATGTCCCCCAAAAGATATGCTGAGGTCTTAAACCCTGTACCTGTTAATACAATCTTGTTTGGAAATTGTTTTTGTTTGTTGTTTTTTTCAGCTAAATTAAATGAAAACCTTATGGTTAGCAGCATTTTATATGACTATTTCTGCTCCTATTATTTAAAAAGAGGGGTGTAGGGTATGACTGATGGCAATAAAAATTCTTATTCAATACAACTTTTAAAATGAGGTAATAATGATCAGAAGTCATAAAAACAGAGAAAGGGAGAAGATAATTATATTAGTTGGGTGAGATAAAGTGCTTCCTACATTGACGATTGAATTTGACTCTGAACCTCTTGACAAAAAAGGCCAAACATTGCCATTTTATGTTTTTTTGTCCTCCCAGTAAGACTAGAAACTCCCTAAGAGCATGGGCTATGTCCTCACCATCAGTCAGAGCTATCCCTGATGACAGGACTGCGTCTACCTCTAAAGCTAGGGTATCCCCAAAGACTAGGACTGCTTCTGTTGGTTCCTGTATCCCCTAAACTCTTGACACATTCCAGTACACACAGGTACTCGTGTGACTGGTAAGTCAGCACCAGCTTTGGGTTGTAATGGCCTGGGAACAAGTTGAAGCTTGGTGAAGAGGTGTAACATCAGACATTACTTCTTCATGTCATTCTTCACCGAAGTCCAATTTGGGTTCATCTCACAAACTCTGGGATTTTGTAGACTGAGAAGGTTAAGCACCATCCAGTCTGTTCTGACTCATAGTGACCCTGTATTGGGTTTCCAAGGCTATACATCTTTGTGGGAGCAGAAAGCTTCATCTTTCTTCCATAGAGCAGCTGATGGGCTTGAACCACCAACCTTGTGGTTAGCAGTCTAGTACTTAAAACACGTGCTCCCTAACTTACTCCTTTGATTCTGTTTTGTTAAGTGTCAACTCGGTTCCAACTCATAGTGACCTTGTATAGGGTTTCCACAGAGCAGCTGGTGAGTTTGAATGGCCGACCTTGCAGTTCAAAGTGACCTTGTAGTCCAGTGCTTATTCTATAGGGCCACACCAGGTGGCAGTGGTAGATTCAGAGTATCTTGATGACAAAAGGGCCTGCAGATAATTATATTGGCTCTTTGAGAAAGGTGGAATACCAATTTTTTTACAATAATATCCATAGCTTGTCATGATCCACACGGTGGATCTTAACTTTTCCGACGCTGTGCATCTTTGCGAGTACAGAAAGCCTCAACTTTCTCCTGTAGAGCAGCTGATGAGCTGAAATCACCGACATTGTGGTTTGCAGTCCAGTGCTTATCGTACAGAGTCACTGTGCGCCTCTATCCGCCAGGACTCCATTTTACTCCTGTTGTTGTTGCCAGGTGCCATCGAGTTGGAACTGACTCATAGCGACCCCATGCACAGCAGAACGAAACAATGCCCGATCCTGGGCCAACCTCACTACCACTGGCACACTTGACGCCATCAATGATGCCACCTGGCCGATCCATCTTGTTGGGGGTCTTCCTCTTTTTCTCTGACCCTCCATAGTAGTTCTTTAAGGGAAATGCCTTTCCCTGGCTCTAATTTCTAAGAGGGATTTGTCATGGGGAGTCTTATAGACTTTTACTGCCGCAGTGGACAATGGCTAAAGGCACTAACAGTTTCTTTTTTAAATTAACAAACTTCAATTTTGAGAAAAAAAATTTTGCAGAAGATACAGATAATTTTCATATATTCCTTTTCCTACTGTCCACAGTTTCCATTTTTAACATCTTGCATTGTTGTTGTTGTTAAGTATAGGGTTTCCAAGGAGCAGCTGATGAGTCTATTTGCATTAGTGTGGTAGATTTGTTATAATTGATGAACAAATATTGATACACGATTGTTAACTAAAGTCCATAGTTTACATTAGTGTTCATT